AAGGTCAGGGGATCCGCTAATGCATATCCACCTCGGATATAATAAAAATTTAAAAAAAAGTAGTCGTTCATGGTAATTCTTTGTTAATTATTATACATTTGGTTTTGTAAAAGCTGTTGGCTACCTAAATAAAAGTAAATAAAAGCCTACCTTACAATATCATGGGTGTGTGAGAGGTATGTATTAGTTTTAATGTATATGCGTTTCGTTATTGGATAAATACATGAAATTAAAATAGAAATTACGCCATAATCTGTACCAAGGATTCTGTTAAACGGAGTTCCAGAGAAACTAGTAGCTTAGAGCAATTTATATCGTACAGCTAAAAATGTTATCATTACGGAAATACAGATTCCTCCACCGTCGCATTAGATCGATTATTTTAATAACATGATCGCTCATTAACGGCAATTTGATAGTAGCTTAGGTCGAATGTAATAAAAACAGTATTACCGTTTTATAAAATTTCTGTTATACGAGTAAGTGTGACCATATATATTATGTGAATATGATGATATATTTAGGCTTCCAAACCCGTTTGGTGACAGATTCTTCGAAAACTTAAGTCATATGAGATGATATTAATTTAAATCAGGCATTTTCCGACCCGGAATGACTCCCACGCATTTCTCGACGGAACATGTATAACGTGTACCTTGCTAAATAATTTTGACAGGTACTTTAGTCTGTTTAAGTTTTCTGAATTATTTTTGATAAAATATTTTTGTTTACCTGGTAAACTTCGTATCACCTACGTATATTTGTGTCATAACTTAATACAAAATTTTTAAAACAGACCAAAGAGATCGGAGCTCTGAAACGCAAATTTCTGAAAACATCTATAAATACATGACAACCAAATGTCAATTTTTATTTCTAAAAAGACAATATACATCAAATATTTATCAGCTAGGAACAGTTTTTATTGGAAAATTCAGCTGTCGTTTTTAGTATTTTTCTATACTTATTATGCATGTTCCCCACCGTTTTAACTTCCCTGAACTTCCACAAATATTTCAAGATCAAAGCCAAATCCATTTTAGAGTATTAGCGAGACAAACCAAACCATCTAATATTTAAATTCTCGTATCACAATGTTCGTTCCCATACTCCTCCGAACGGCTTGACAGATGAATGAATTTCTTAATACATATTCAGTAAGTCTGAGAATCGGCTACTATCTATTTTTCAAACCCCTAAGTGATAAGGAGTGTCCAGTGTCCACCCCAAACTTTTATTTTTTATACTTTTTATTTTTTTATGAACCCCTAATTTTCACCTCTCTACGATCAACCCGTATTTTATTAGAGTAGATAGCTATTTTTATTGAACTAAAAATATTTTTCCTAGAAATAATATACATGGCAAAACAACGTTTGCCGGGTCAGCTAGTTTTTATATATATAAATATAAGATTCTACTAGAGGCACAATGTTTGTTATTGATCATGTTTAGAAACCAGCAAAAGATGAATATCCTTAAGAATTCGTTACCGAAGTTTGGGGGGAGTCCTTTTGTAAAACGTTACGATGCGGGGCAGGGATTGAATTACGCGTTATTATTTTTGACTTTCCAGTACTTTACACCACACCATGGTAACTTTTAGTTATAAAGAGTCACTAGGTGGTCACGAAACGTTTTACTATACTTGGGTACAGAAAAACGATACGGCGCATTACATGGGGGGCGGGTCAATAATATCCAAAAATTACGTGACGTAATACTTTGCTGTTTGCTCCCATTTTTAATGACATTCAATATTCCAATTCGACGACTACTACTTAGTATATGAAGCGGAACCAGATACTCCAGACTCGATTCTCCGCGAAACAATTGTTTTAAGCTGCAGAATTAGGCGACGCTTCACCAAATACGAATCTTGATACAAATTCGTGAATTGTATAAGAATGAACATCGAAAACATTAATGACCTTAAAACATTCACTTTCTTCATTCTATTTCATGTCTGTTTGTATGCACAACAGATGTAGACAACAATATTTTTGACATACTTCTACATGACAGTAATACATTGCTGGCCGTATGATTTTTTCGATTCCCAATTCTGTTTCTACCACAATTTTATTTTACATGTATAATTTTTATTCTTTTTCTGATAGAAAGTGTGTATGGTTGTTAAACAATTCATTTTCTTTACGGGTCTTTTAAATGCTTACAACTTTCGGGCATATTATACAAACTTTATAGAAAAGCAGAAAATAACATTTTTTTCCTTTTAATAATATATTTTAGTAATTATTTTTTCAAGTTAGTTATTGTTTTTTGTTATATTAATTTATGTTAGATATAGGATTACTTTATATACGTTAATTATATTAGGTTATATCAATAAAGTTTCATTTTTCAAAAATAAATTATCTATTTATAATTATTTTAATAATTTATAAAAGATTTAAATTAATCTGTTTACCACACTAATTATATTTGAATATGGAATGTTCAAAATAATTAAACGGTAATGTACATTAAATATACTGGTGTTTGGAATGATACAAATGACTCACGCGCACCAAAGGAGAGAAAGTGCTATGATATTTGCCAAATATGTTAGGATTATTTTCGCTTCGGTTACGTCAGAATCTATTTTAAAATTAAGTATTAGACTAATGGCTAGGAGTTTAAACTTAGTGGTCGTGAAAAGATTCTTAAAGATACAGAATGTCAAAATTCAATATACTTTTAACATACGGGAAGTCTTACAACCAATCGAGTGTCAGACAAGTCACCCACTCATAGAATCAGACGCTGAAATGTCTGCCATGCCCCATGGCCTATTGGGAAGTTACAAGACTAAATTCTCATACTACGTAAGCGACGTAATCTTCTAATATATATAATTCTCGTGTCACAATGTTCGCTCGCATACTCCTCCGAAACGGCTCGACCGATTCTTATGAACTTTTTTATGCATATTCAGTAAGTCTGAGAATCGGCTACTATCTATCTTTCAAACCCCTAAGTGATAAGGGGTGTCCACTCCAAAAAAAAATTTTGTTTTAATTTTATATGATACAACATACACAAATACATACAACCCCTAATTTTCACCCTCCTACGATCAACACTTAATTTTTATCATTGTAGATAGTTATTTTTATTGAACTAAAAAAATGTTTCCTAGAAATAATATCGATGGCAAAACAAACGTTTGCCGTGTCAGCTAGCTAGTATGGCTATATAAATTGAATAGTTATTAAAAAAAAACGTGTGTCTACTTATGTACACGCGTTAGAAGATATACTTCTTTGGCGTAACAAGATAAAAATCTTTGCAAAAATTTTACTCTACGTTTGTAGAAAATACTAAAATGTTGACTATAGCTTACTTCAGGTGTCGGTTTTTTGTGACGGTGTGCGCGCGCATCGTAAAAAATTTCCTCCCATAATTTTTTCCTAACGCGCCAACATTTTTCTATAACTTCAATAATTATGAATTATATAGATTTTCAATTAACCCAGTCACACAACGCATTGCATTTAATAGCTTCAGGTTACAATCAATTTGTTAAAAAAAACCTTGACGATTTAAAGAGTGACGGAGAGTCTATTGCCATCTTCTCGTCCGTTCTACTTCCTTGATTTGAGAACTGGCAATTTAGAAGAATTATTTTAACTGACGTTCATATGTATACATTAACTTAACTGTATCAGAAAATGATTTTTGGAAATTAATTACCCTGAGAGTCATTGAAACTTTAATAAATACATTTATTGATTTTTATAACATTGATTCATTGATCCGATTAAGTGAATACACTTAATAATATGATTAATAAATTTAATTTACATAAAATATTTATTTTTAATATAGTATTTAAAATAGGAATGTGTTTAATGTTTATTCATTACAACAATGCAATATGTGTAAGATTTGGTAAACTTTTTGATTGAAAAATACTTCCATAACAAACTTATCTTACATATTGACTTTTTAAAACTGTTTACAACATTTTTTTAAAATGAGTGTGTGTATGCACACTAGAGAATGAGTGTAATGTGTACTACTTTTTATTAGCAAATCCATATTAGCTGAAATGCAATTAAAATAATAAAAAAACACGCCACTAATAATATTTCATGAAAATATTATTCGAGTTAAAATCAAAATAATTTCCTTACAGAAGCACTATGAGTCATCTGACCAACGTCAAGAGTTCAATTAAGTTTTACACCCAATTGGAATTTTATTGGTTTCCATCTTACATTATTGAAGTGACTATAAAAGCGTTTTATTTACCTATTTTTACACTGGTATCTTATTATTTACATCAATTTAGTTATAGTTAGAGTCGAGATGAGTTATTAAGTGATCGCGCAGCCCGGACATAAATTAAATCAGATGCGCTACAACCTCTTTAGGTCGGGGCCTCAGATTTCTGAATCTGTTTCATGATCATTTTAAATCTAATAGGCAAGTAGGTGATCAGCCTCCACACGCCGTCGACTTTTTGGGTCTAAGACATGTCGGTTGCCTCACGATGTTTTCCTACACCGTTCGAGCGAATGTTAAATGTGCACATAGATAAAAAGTCCATTGGTGCACAGCCGGGGATCGAACCTACGACTTCAGGGATGAGAGTCGCACGCTGAAGCCACTAGGTCAACACTGCAGCCCGGACACAACGACCAATATTTAAGCCTTTACTTGTGTAAGCTATCGCGGAATGTGCTTCATATAATATTAAGTATATCCATAGCGCAAAATCACCTGCATCATGAGTACACTCTACATACACACCCTCATAATACTCTCACTTTTACACCATCACACAACACAGCCAAATTAGGTATCATTTAGTTAAACGTATTGAATATTTTTTATTGTTTTTTTTTACTTTAGTATAATTGTTTTTATTAAATATAATTAACGTCAGATCTAGGATTACGAAATAAATAAACCGAAAAATATTAACGATTATGCTCGAGTCCAGGATTTAGAGAGAAAACATCTCTAGTAAAACACAGATTTGTATTTGAAATTTATGTATCAGTTTCATGAATATGCCGCCATATATTCGTAAATATAACGTCAATGACTCGGTTCCAAACCTGAGACAGCGCCGATTCTTCATACAATTCTACTGTGTCTAATATATGTTTGTCATACAGCTGCATCACCAGCTCCAGAGAAAACGGGATACCATAGATCTAGAACAGTGGAGTAAAATTAGTGAAAGAAATTGAGAGAGCCGCCCTGGACCGATGGTTTTAAATGCTGGATGCCCTCTGCCCCACTAGGGAGGCATAGTACTTTAAGTGAAGTCATATGTCTGAAACCCCCTGATGTGGAGTTGCTGCTTGGAGTTTAACGGTTAACGGTTGTAGCTTGGAGTCCAAAAATGGCTTAGAAATCATACTGTGTAATAAACTACCAAAGACAAGGTTTCATTTGCGGTCAGGAACTAATGTGAAAGTGCATGTATATGTTTGCAGCCTTGCGATTCTGTAACTCACTTTTCGGACTCTCACTGCGGCTTTGGCGCGGCGGTCGCGCTCAAATCAGTCGTAAAGCAGTCATTTTACGAGTTGGCATTCTGATAAACAATAACCTACAAGCTCCCTCCTTAGCGCGACCGCCGCTGTGAAAACCGCTGTGAGAGTTCGAAAAGTGAGTTACAGAATCGCATGGCTGTACTAAATAGTAAAACAATTTCTTCAGCAAACTCGTAGTTATTTCTATACTAATATTTTAGTAGTTTTTACTAAGTTTTAGCTTTTCTTTAGGAATATATTGATCACTTTTTAAATCCTGTTTTTTAATTAATATTCGAAATATTTGCTAGGCGGCGAAATATAATTTTGATGACCCTAATCTGTGTTCTTAAGTCTAATGTTTAAAGAACTTTATTTCTCATTACAAAATTTATTTTTTATTTATATGAGAAATTAAATATTATATACGTCGTAAAAAATTAAATTAAATTTAAGAACCGACGCTTGCGTGCACTTGCTCGTACGGGGGAGCAAAAAAATGTAGCTGAGGCTGAGAAAACCGGCAGTTACCGGCAAACAATCAATTTACATTCGACAACAAACGAATTAACAAACAAATATTGTGGCGCGGGGCATATTCTGTTCAACCAATCAGCGCGCGAGGTGCGATTCGTTTACAATTTGACGGTTTCACTTCGATAGATTACAATCTACCGAATAATAATACGTTAAATTGTAAGCAGTTCGTTGAGGTTCACAATCTTTCGACAGTTTACAATCTCGCGAGATAGATTACAATCTAACGGTGTTTACAATTTTACGGTGACATATACAAATCTTACCGTAGAAGCATAATCCACACTTGAGCCAAAAACCCTCCCGTACCAATTGTGCAAAGTGTCCACGCTCACTGAGACTGTTTTGAAACTGGCATTGCGCATCGCTTCATCGATATCTCCCTTCAGATCTATGTACTTGTCGTCATCTGATTGTACTTCTGAGAATCCTCTCGGATAGAGAACTGCCTCCCCCTAAACAATCTTCTTATAATAATAATAATAATTTATTTATTGCATTCTGCCACACACAATGGCGCGCTAATTTGTCTTAAGGAATTTTACTATTTACATTATTAGTCAAAGTCAATTCTTATATTATTTGTATCGTACATAGCATACTTTATTAAATTTATATCGACTACAGTGTCTCACGCAAATAATCATTTATTGAATAGTACATTTTGTCCAAAAGTAAAACACCAAGTCGCTTTTTAAAGGATCTAGTCGGAAAATGTTTTAATTATTTTGGTAATTTATTGTTAATCTTAATTGCCATACAAAAGGTGTTTTTCCGAAACAGTTCCAGATTGATTTTTGGCACAGCCAATTTCTTCCCATGTCTACTTCTTACTCCGACTTCTACATTCGACTTAAAAATATGTATGTTTCTGTGCACGAATAAGGATATTTCTAAAATATAAATACATGGAAGAGATACAATTTTGAGCTTCATAAATAAAGTTGCTCCACAAATTGCTCTAATACATTTCTTTTGAGCTTATTTATCCAAATCAATATATATATAAAGTATTTACAGTTATCCCTCCTACAACACGGTAGATTGGTTCCGCGTTGCAGGAAGTTCTCTCATAAAACGCTTGTATTACCCCACATAACGCGTTATGTACAAGTGATTCACTTTTAACTTTTCTCGATAAAGGGGATTTAAATCGCGTAATATCAAAATGCGTTATAATAGAAAGATCTTATAAGGGAAAACCCCTTGTAACAAAACAAAAACTGCTTTTCCAAGAGCAATCAAAGAGCATTAATAGTGCAGTACAGGGATTAAGCAGTCCCTAAAAACACGAAGGCAAAAATAATAACAATCACGCATTTATGGGTAATAGACCGGGCGCTAGAGGTAAGTGAGTATGCAAAATGTGAATGTCGAATTTCGCCAAAGGATTTAAGAATCCATCCTTACTTTTACCATTAAAACAAACTATAAATTATTATAGAAAAATAATAAAAATGATTTTATATTATGTACACAATACATTCCCTTTTAAGGCATAAGAGAAAAGGGGGTAAAAAAAATGGACCAAAAAATGGACCAGCAAGATCCACATTACTATTCCTTGACATTTTCTTAACTCAAATTCTCTAGCGCCTGGACTATAAAATAATATTTTAAATGTGACAAACTTTATATTAAATTGTTCTTAAATTATATTTAAATATAATTTCGAAAATGCTGGCTTTAGAATAATTTATAATACCTTATAGATAGAGGGTGCATAGGAACCAGCATGTACATGCATATACGCAACGATTTTATGGCCGTATTTGTGAAAGACGTCCCTTATCGCCCTGGACTCTGCTTCTGAGAAAGGTGATGTCCCTGGGTACTGCTGGCTACAGGATGAAATGATGTTCGAACTATTCCAGGCGACGTCAAAATTCCGATCTATGTTTACTCCAGGACAAGCGTTTTGTGGTGAGACGTTCTTGTTCCATATTGTTTTCTATAAAATACAGATTTTTTTTAATACTTTCTTTAAAGTTACCAATATAAGATAATACTAAATACGTTTCCAGGCATAGTCAATAATGCATTATAGTCAAATAGAGTTGCATACAGGTGGTATAATTATTTGATGTTTAATCAAATGGTCTTTAGATTTCGAAAATCTAAGTAAAAAATGCTTAGTGTCTTATAGTTGTGATTAACCTTTTCGGCTTCTAAATTGGCTGTAAACTAACTAGGCAAAATGTTCAGTAAGTCCAAGAACTTATTATCCTGTATTATGGTTGGCTATTTAAATACATAATTGATAAAAAAAAATAACAGCTCAAATATAAAAAAAGAAAAGGAAATTAAAATTTCCCACAATTTTGTTCCCTTTGGAGTTGACTCTTGGGCCGTGGTTTTAAGTGAACAGGCGATAATTAATTAATGATTTAAGTTGGCGCCTGGTAGATAGACCGGTGATTTCCTAGCTCAACGAGGTATCGCTATACAGTGAGGAAATGCTGCCAGCGTTAAAGGTACACTGCCACAGGGACCAAACTTTTTAAATTTGTTTTAACTTTATATTTATCAAATTAACTATTATTATTATGTAGGTGAATAATATCGAAATACTGTTTTATGCCCAGATATTGAATCTATATTTTTGTCATATTTGAGAATGCTTACATGTTGTGAGGCCGTGAAACCGTCAGGATTAGCCAGTGGAATCAGAAATATGTCGAAATTATCTAAATGTGTCAAGTAATATGACAACAACTTTGTAAATTCCTTATCATGCGAGAGGCAGTCTATTGAACTAATTCCCATAACACTTAAGCCATGAACAATAAATACTATTTTCTTTTGCGGCGCTTCATCGGCATATTTGTCGTCCTCGGCTCGGAAGTGTCTTTGTAAATCGTTCATTTCACTGATTTTCATCAATACTAAATCGTTATATTCCACTGTACGACCAATGACTTCAATAGTTATGTTTGTATTTGGAAACTTCGACGAAATTCGAGAGAGCTGTTGCTTAATCTGCAATTTGTTAAGAATTTAACATGAATATCTAATTAATACTAATATTATAAAGAGGAAAGATTTGTATGTAAGTATGCCTGTAACGAATTCGCTCAAAAAGTACTGCCTTGCGATTCTGTAACTCACTTTTCGAACTCACACAGCGGTTTTCACAGCGGCGGTCGCGCTCAAATCAGTCGTAAAGCAGTCATTTTACGATTTGGCATTCTGATAAGGAGGGAGCTTGTTGTTTATTGTGTTTCAACTGCTGTGAGAGTTCGAAAAGTGAGTTACAGAATCGCAAGGCTGGACCGATTTTAAAAATTCTTTCTCCATTTGAATGCTACATTATCACTGATTAATATAGGCTATTTTAATTTCAAGAAAAAATAAGGAATCCTACTAAAACTACAATAATGTTACCCAAGCTGTAAAAAAATGCCTATAAAATATCTTTCATCGCATGCGCTGCGAAAACTATTGATGATAGAACCAAAAATTTTCCACAATATCAATATATAGAACATATCAATATCTACAAAAATTATTAGTAGTAGGCCGCTAGTCATGAATAATATGTAATTGTTATGGATTTAAATGATAGACAACGTTATAGTAGCAATATCGAATCAGACTGGTTAATTCCTACTTACAGCGTACGGGCTTAAAAATTCCGAGCCATCTTCATCATCTAAAGGTATGTATCGAGTGCTGTAAATAATAAGTAAATTAAATTGGTGTCGATCCGGTTTTCCTTAATTTACCAGTCTATTATTATTATTATTATGTATATAAACACACTAGCAGTTTAATAAGCTGATGCGCGTGTATTATGAGATTTGGAGAAACTATCCAATCTATTTTTAAAGGAGTTCAGAGAATAGGCTTCCGGAAGGTGTAATCAGTACACCAACTGATTACACCTTACGGAAGCCTATTCCAGTCGGCCACTACTCGGTTTGGGAGAAAGTTCTTTAGGGAATTTGTGTTATGTTGAGTGGTCTTAAGTTTTAAAGAACTACCCCTCAAATGCGTATTTTCACTTAAAATAAAGAGCTTCCCAATTCCTGGAACATTATAGTGGACAGTGAGGATTTTATAGGTTTCAATGAGATTTCCTCTTAATCTCCTACTTCCTAAATCAGTAAGGTCAAGTGCTTTCAGACGCTCATTATAAGATTTCTTCCTGAGTGACCTGATCATTTTCGTGGCTTTTCTTTGAACCCTTTCAAGCATACTAATATCCTTTATGAAATAAGGAATGCTATAGGCATACTCTAATAGTGGTCTAATGTAACATTTATATATCTTTAAGAGTGTTCTTGGTGAAAGGCATTTGAATGATTTTCTCACTAGATAGTCTATGTATACCTTATTTCTGGCTCTTCCTGAAGCATCATCTGTGTGACACGTTTCGATCTAAAAAGGTAATGATTTTGAAAAGTTTTTGAATTTTACAATAAAATTGTTTTTCTTTATTAATTTTGCTCATTATTTACATTAAACAGCGACTTCTCTAACGCATCAGTTTTCTTTTAAAAAATTACCAAATTCAAATAAAGATTTTTCTATCTAAAAGCCTGTGAATGATTCTTGTTTCTTGATCATCTTCTTTCTTTAATTAATAATTACTTTAACTTACACATGTTTAGCTCTAATCTGTGGAGCTACTTTAGGCCAGGATACATTCATGACGGGCCACTTGGAGTGTGCTCTGAATACACCTTTATGAGATTTTAATTCATTTTTCGCCTGTCTAAAGTGAAATTAAGAAAAAAATAAAATTAAAATGTTGTATTCTGTCTTGCTGAAACCTTTAAATTATTATTTTTATCATGCCTAAAAAGACCTGGTGCAGATAAATTTCTTCTGATATCTGACACTTTGAAACAATTATTGTTACCCCGGTAATTGTATCCAGGAAAGTAGGTTGATTCCGTTCCGCCCACATGCTTTAAATTAAAAAAGATTAACCTAATTAGTAGAAATCATATTATTTAGATAAAAAATTAATAAATAAATCTTTTTAGGTCTGGGCCTCAGATTTCTGTATCTATTTAATTTGTAAGCAAGTAGGTGATCAGCCTCCTGTGCTTGACACAAGCCGTCGACTTTTTGGCCGGTTTCCTCACGATGTTTTCCTTTACCGTTCGAGCGAATGCACACATAGAAAGAAAGTCCATGTCCCAGTCCAAGCCGGGGATGGAACCTACGACCTTAGTCGCACGCACGCCACTAGGCCAACACTGCTCATTAGAGAGATATAGTATTAGGTAATGTAGACTAAAATTATATATAATAATTTTAACTTGTATAAAGTTGCACAACGAAATCAACATCAATATAATACAAACATACATTTTGAATTATACGTACTACGAGAATGTAGTATATTTATAGATTTGCTATACTATAACCATATGTATATATATTTTTAATAACAATTATAAAGTATTATAATTACCTCGAAGTTAAATTGTTATGCTGTGATGGCGCTAGAAATTCTTCTACTTTCGATCCATTTTGAGCCTTCCTATAGGACGTATAAAACTTAGTATATATCAATTATCCTTTATTAAAACCTAAGCATAACAATCAAATATACAATTTTATTAACCGACATAGTAATAATAATAATAATTAAAAAATAATAAAAAGAAAATTAAAACAAATTTTAAAAGTTTGGTCCCTGTGGCAGTGTACCTGTACCTCTATTATTAAATTAATGGTCAATTTTTAGTTACTAATACTACGTACGATCACATAGCTTTGAGTAGTTCGTTCGTTCATTATGGTATGTGCCAAATTCTGAACAAATGAGAAAATTCACACAGACGCCCATGCCCCAGGATCTATCGATCGTAAACAATCTATACTAATATTATAAAGAGGAAAGATGTGTACTGGAACGATTTTAAACATTCTTTCACCATTTGAATGCTACATTATCACTGATTAATATAGGCAATTTTAATTGCAATAAAAAAAGTAAGGATCCCTACTAACACTACAATAATGTCACCCAAGGTGTAAAAAATGCCTATAAAATATCTTTCATCGCATGCGCTGCGAAAACTATTGATGATAGAACAAAAAAAATGTTTCACAATATTAAAGAACATATTAATATCTACAAAAAATGTTTAAAAAATAAATGTCCACCCGTGCGAAGCCGGTACGGGCCGCTAGTTTTTTAAATATTTTCTTATAAAATACCTTTTCATTTTTTTTACAATTTCATATTTTTTTCTTACAGGCGTGGTCGTTTTTGAATGTCCTTCTTTAACAATTTCTTTAAAACGTCTATTTTGCGTGTATCTTCGTGATTTAAATCTTGGATCAATCCTGAAATTAAGAAAATTATTATTATTACTGTTACTAACTTCCACCGTTTACAACCAATCTTGTAAAACAACGTAAAAAAGTTGACTTAGAAAAACAGTTATAGCTCTTACCAAATTTCTAATTCTTCTACATTCTGTCTCTTTTCTGGAATAAAACAGATCTATACGATAAAACGGTTAATAATAATATTAGAATTTATTATATTTGATCGTTGTCCCCAAGAGTCATCACATATAGTGAAACAAGCAGTAATGTATTGGTAAAATAAGAAGTAAGGGAACGCATAGTGGCAGGAAAAAAGTCCTATTTTCAGCAAACTATTTTTTTCTTATTCTTACTATACAAAATAATTCCACAAAAAAAGATGAAAATCAGAAAGATATTGTTATTATGTAGTACACTTATGGTGTACTACAAAAACTCCCAAATAGGATCACACACATTTTTATCATTTGCCCCTGCTCCTGCTAAAAAGTACTGGAACGCGTTCCGGTTCTGAAAAAAGGTAAGGGAACGTGATTCCACCGCGTTCCCCTCCCAATACACCACTGGAAACAAGTAACCCACATCAATTTAATTGCTGATTTTGAAGCGATTAGGTGTTTCGCCTATTCTGTAAATAATTGTTTTGCCGTAAACCTTTACCACTATAAAGGTGAAACCAGTAGAACGCAAGTAAAAGCCTGGATATTTTTATACATTGTATCTGCACTGAGAAATCATTTAACATTTCATTCTAGCCTAACTAAGACTAATAAGTAATTTAGTCATAAGTTTAGTTAGTTATCTTAATTTACTAAAGATGTATTATACATTTCGTCAGCTCTTTCATAGAAAAGTGGCGCTACAACCTCTTTAGGTCTGGGCTTCTTCTGAGTCAGTTTCATGATCATTTTTCAATCTAATAAGCAAGTAAGTGATCAGCCTCCAGTGCCTGACATACGCCGTCGACTTTTTGGGTCTAAGACATGTCGGTTTCCTCACGATGTTTTCCTTCACCGTTCGAGCGAATGTTAAATGCGCACATAAAAGAAAGTCCATTGGTGCACAGCCGGGGACCAAACCTACGGCCTCAGGGATGAGAGTCGCACGCTGAAGCCACTAGGCCAACACTGCTCAACTCTTTCAGAACATACTATAAAATATAGTTCTTTGTAACCTTCCTTTTAGCGTCGATAATGATAAAATGCGTAAATATCTATATCTAAGAAGATTTCTAATATAGTTCAGTGAAGTAATCAGTCATATTTGAAAAGCATAAAGTGTAAAACGAAACTTACGTTTCTCAATTTCACATAATACATTATAAATTACAGTAAATATCACGACTTTATATAGAAAACAAATACTCGACATACTTCAACATAATATTTATTTTCTATATTGAATTACATTTTATGGCAGTTTTTATGTTGTAACTGGATTTTACAGCGTATCGCTTTTTAGTACGAAATTATTTGAAAAGCAACTTATTCATGTCACAGCGTGGTTGATTCATTTTGATTCAAAGAATTCATTATAAAAGGATCGAACTTTTAAAGTTCCTGTAGTATATTATTAAGTTCTAATTTATCTCTACACCTACATAATAACAATAATTAAAAATGAATAAATAGACAACTAGAATAAATTTTTTAATTTGGTCCCTGTGGCCTGGCCTGCAATGTACCTTTAATGCTGGAAACATTTCCTCGCTGTATTGCGATATTTGATGAGTGAGTACCAGCTCTGGGGTCACCAATACTATCTACCAAATTCTTAAATCTTTAATAAGCGCCTAGTTTTAATTTTTTCAGTATTGTATTTATGTAAACCTTAGATCAAGACTATTGTATCCTAGTTTAATTTATAAAAAATATTATTAATATATTATTAGTGTTGTTTAGTGGCTATTTATATGTAATACCTTTTGGTATTACATATAAATAATAAAGAGTTCAAATTTAACACCAATTAGTGAGAATAGTTAGTAGGGATCGTGCCTTTTATATTCCAAGGAACGATGATTTTAGTTTGCCACCGTAAAAAGTGTTCCTGAGTGTATATGCATATGTAGTTTTATATAAAGGTTTATTACGAGTAACATGCTAGAAGGCATTTAGATAACATTAAAATTTGACCATAGATGAAAATCTAAAAGTATCGTTTTTGAAAAAAAAACATTCCTTTTTTGTTTAATCTATCGCGGGAATAGATACCGTTCGCATCCAGAGGTACCACCGAATAGCCTACGTTATTCGGACCTACGAATATTAGGCCTATAAGTTTGACAACAATTAATTATAAATAGCTTGACTGATTATTATGACTGATGTTCTTATTATATGACTTATTGAAAATTAATGTATCATTTGCATGCCTTTTTTTGTGTGGCTGATTGTGTGAATTTATATAATTGATCGTTATAAATGTACCACTTTCTTGCAAATAAATGATTTATTATTATTACGTTATTCGGACCTCAACTTGACCGAAAGGACATAAAAGTTTCACGATCCCGTTAAAAGTGTTGTTTTATTGTTGACTGCTACTTAGCAAGTGTGTGTAAGATATTTTAAATATAGGGCTTAAGAATATTAGGGTTTAAGACAGTGGCTTAGAACTTGCTATATACCAATTGTTTTACAATTATTGGCCTACACTTTATGCGTTGATTTCTTTAATTATTTTCGTTTAAGAGTATTAGGATTTAAAACAATAATAACGCAGTCTTGCTTTTCAGCGTCTATTAAATTAATTATTTTGAATTTGAAGATATGTTTTTGTCTTAGATATGTTGACTTGTGGTGCAGAGTTGACACTTAACCATAATCTGTTGATCTGTTGCTTATTAGGTAAAGAATCTCTAAGCTAAGAGTATGTATGTTTGTCCGTGGGATTCGAGGTATCAGCAGTGCTAAATTACCTTTTTTAGACACTGTTACGTCATTGTTTAAATTAAATTCTTTCACACACACCCCTACACATATTCACACACCCACAACCACTCATGCTTTAATTGTGTTTAGTCTATTAATTTAGTTTATGTATGTAGTGTATATTATATTCATATGAATCAAAGGGGGAACGCTGCCAGTATCTTCGGAACCTTGCCTAAAGGGACTCCTTTTAATAATATATTTTAGTTTATAAATAACTAACCTTAACAAGGTTAGTTATTTATTTATTAATAATTATTATTGTTATTCATACTTATATTTAAATAAATAATATTTCATATGTTTTTGTATATTTACTGTCCGCGATGGAAGGTGACCTGTTACCACAGCACTTCTATAGTCCTACTATAGGCACCAGCCTCTCACAAAGATGGCATGTGCAGCATGTAAACCCGATGTGAAGAGGAAAATAAAATTTATACAATTTATTACACTTTAACAGTTACTTGATACTTAGTATAGAATATTTTACCGTACTTAATTTTTCTTTTCATCTAATGTCTGTTTTTTCGTTTGATATATGATTTTGAAAATGTTATTTATATTTAAGACATTTCATAATATATTATAATGTAGTTCGTCATTAGAAACGCCTTTCTCGCAATTTTAAACCACAACCTACAACGGTCGTAAACGTAAAGATTTACACCAACACACAAAAACTGTTAGGCCATTCAGTTCAATCTCAGTCTGATACCGAATAAATTCAGTTATTAAACTTAAATATAAAATATATCGTATTTAGTGTTTTGAAATTGGAAATAATAACATCAATTATTGACAGTGTAACTAATTAAACTAGATATAGACATAAAATTTATGTATATATATTTATAACGAAATTCGAGGTACCGAGAATGTTTTACGTTATAGAGTTACGAATGACGATGTAAAGAGTTTACACGGTAATTTAAAAAAATATAAAAAAATAATGAAATATAACAATTCTTTTCTTTAAACGTACCGTGTTCTTTACACGGTACGTTTTAATTGTGTAATGCGCGTGTGCTGTGATTGTAATTGGCCCTGGCTCAGCATTATGCTGAGGAGCAGACAGTTTCACAGCGCTGGTAATTCTGCCAGAGACTACAGCAGCTAGTTAACAAAAACTTTACAAACGGCCTAAGACAGTTTGCCTAAATTTTTTATAGTAAGTAGTAACAGTTTTCTACAAAGATCATGTGTTTATAATCTATTTTTACTCGTAGTAATTGTGATTTGGGGAACCAACCACAATTACACCAAAGCTACTGTAGTCCAAAATGGAATATGTCGAATTATCGCAAAAGTTTTTTTTAATACAAGATAAAAAAGGGGCATAAAAGGCCATTACTGCAGCAGCACTTCATCAAACACAAAAATTATTATATGACCCAAATAAAAAGCATTGTATAGTAGAAACCAGTTGGCCGAGCTTTTTATAACAGCAAAAATATCGCTAAAAAGTACTCGGAGTAACAAACTTAATATGACTAAGGATCGTAGTGTTTACAATAGGTAAATGTTACAACTTTGTAGTTTTATATCAACAATGCTAAGCCGGAGTACCACGAAACAGTCACGAAACGCTATGGCGAATTCAATGTTATGTCAAATTCGTTGAAGTTAAAACAAAAGTGGTTCAAGATTTGATGGGTCTAACGGGTAACATAACAATATAATAATAATAATAAAAGCCCTTTATACGCTGACTTTTCAACTTATATGCTATCCTTATTAAACAGTATTATTCTTACATAATAATTTATTTGCAACCACTTTAGGTCTGGGCCTCAAATTTCTGAGACTGTTTCATTATCATTCTTAAATCTAATTTACATAGCGAGAATAATAATTTATTTGCAACCACTTTAGTCAGGTGGTCCGTCGACATAGGCCTCCCCCAATTGTTTCCACGTCTCTCTATCCTTGGCAGACCTTCTCCATCCTTTTGGTAGATCGTCCTCCCTTCTTTTAATTTGACCTCCTCGTTTTGCTTTTCCTGTTTCTCGGAAACCACGATGGGTAACATATTCGTCTCCAAATCATGAATTCGCGTTCAAAACGCAATACCGAAAAATATTTTCAGTACATAAGTCTAGCAGTGTTTGAATTAGGTGTTTGGTGTCAACGGCTGGTAATGTAAATTTAATAGCGATCCCGTTTTGAATGTGAAATATCACATTGAAGATGTACAAAAACACAATTATAAAGTCGATATGCTATCACAATTAGAAGTTGCAGAGTACTGGTGCTGAAGTGGTGATACTCCAGTAACGAAGAACCATATTAGATATAGAATAGCGTAGAGTACCCCTGCTTGTGTCAAGGCTACATTTTTTTAATATTTTTTTTATAATTAGCCCA